ACCGTGAGCATGTGCTCCGCGGATGATTTCTCCAAAAGCGAATGAATAGCTCCTTATTGTTCAAATTCATCTCTTTTTGCTCCAATGCCTCCTAAACACTCCAATCCTCTGATAAGGCCTCTAAGTCACCTGAAACTTCCTGAAAAAAACTCCAAAAACTCCTAAAAAAATTAGTAAACACAGGTTAGAATGAGTCAAAGTCTCCACTCATCAACTCCCCCGAACTTGGATCCTTGTTTGTCCTCAAACAAACTCAAATTCAACTCCAAAAGAATGACTGGATAGAGCTGGGAACTCGCAAAACTCAAACGACCGTAAACCTGACCAAGGCATGTGTCAATCTGCTGCAAAATCAATCAAAAATCTAACCTCCATGTACTTCTCCGTAGACGCTGCAGCTTTCCAGATTAGTCCCTCAATTTCATAACATCATCCATGTCCCATCATTGCTGAGTCTCATCGATAAAACCAGTGCTAAGGACCTTCTAGACTCGTTCCCATACTTATACCTTAACAAATTGACCATACTACACAAAAGTACCTTTCCTCTCCCCCGAACTTATTCACTTTTCAAGCTGTTTCGTTTTTTTTTTTCCGGCACATATAAAAAGGTTCAAAGACGCGAGTATTGATGGTGATTGCCACCGAATCCCCGGTTTGTCCCCTCATTATATATCAAAAGTGTAGGCGAATAATGGGGTCACAGGAAATTTTCCTACCCCTCGCTTCCATCCCTTGTGTGATCATTCCACTTTAGAAGTAAAATAATGGGATCATTGGAAATTTTCCTAGCCCTTTACTTCTAAAAGAAAATCATTTCAATCTTTTCTGCCTTTTTTTTTTTTTTGAAACAGTCTGAAACAATGCTTAGAACATGAGAGAGGAATACCAAATCTATCACACAGGTCTTTATTTGTCAGGTAAGAATGAGGAGTCAAGTCCTATGAGCACTAACCTGATCGATGAGGAAAATGAAGAGCTGAGAATTAGCTCAGGTTCAATGGATTAGTCAAGAATTTTGGGCTCCTCTAGTCTACTGCTTGTCTTTGGATTTTCCATTAGTCGATCTAGATGATTCTGCAGCAATAATCACTAGAAGAAGATGGTCAAGATTCACAAATGGTCTGAAATCATCATAGAATTGGTCCTAAATTCCACAAGCTTTGACTTTGACTCATATAACCAACTGACTCAAAGAAACTAAATGACTCAAACAAACAAACTAAAAACTGACTCAAAGAAAGTACTAAAAGGAAGAAAGCAAAAGAAATAAGTACAAGGGACACGACCCTCCCCCGGACTTACTTCACACCGTCCCCGGTGTAAAAATAAGCTAGAGAAGTGTCCAAAAAACTTACCTGGTTCGCACATGTAGAGCACCCTGGCGGAGCAGGTGCTCCGGAACAGAGCTGGGTGCTCCCTCGTCTTTTGTTCGTCTGGAGCAGGTGCCGGAGCAGGTGCTCCGGTTTCCCTTGGGTTGCTCCTTCGTCACTTTTTACGTGGTGAGCACCCTGTGGAGCAGGTGCTCCGACTGGGGAAGGGGTGCTCTTTCGTCAGTTTTTACGCTTTGAGCAACCAACCCAGCAGATGGAGCAGGTGCTCCGGTTGGGTGCTCTTCCTTCATCTTCCTCACATCTTCTCTTCCACGTTGAACAACTTCTTACCTGTTTTTTTTTTTTTTGAAAACAAAGAACCTAAAAACAAAGTTAGTAGCTAAGAATTGAAAGACACAAAGTTAGAGACTCTTACCGGTGGGTTGCCTCCCACCAAGCGCTTGTTTTAAGTCATTAGCTTGACTTGGAAAGCCATTTAGGCTTGAGGAGGATCGCTTAAAGTGACTGATTCACCCTCTGCGATATTTGGACCAGCAAGATATGGTTTCTACCTCTGTCCATTGACAACAAACTCGCCTCCTTTAGTGTCCAGCAACACTACAGCTCCATATGGTCGAACCTCCTTGATGGTGAATGGTCCAGACCATCTCGATCTCAGCTTCCCTGGAAACAATTTCAATCTAGAGTTAAAGAGCAATACCTGATCGTTTGGTGCAAAGCTTCTGTTGAGGATCCTCTTGTCATGAAAAGCTTTTGTCCTCTCTTTGTAAATCTTCGAGTTTTCATAGGCCAGATGCCTAATTTCCTCCAGCTCATGTAACTGCATTACTCTCCTCTCCTGAACACTCTTTGCATCGAAATTCAGCAGCTTCACTGCCCAAGCAGCTTTGTACTCAAGTTCCACTGGAAGATGACATGCTTTTCCATACACCAAGTGGAATGGTGTAGTCCCCAAAGGTGTTTTGTAAGCTGTTTTGCGCAAAGAGCATCATCAAGCTTCACTGCCCAATCCTTCCTTGTGGTGCTCACAGTCTTCTGCAGAATGTTCTTGATTTCCCTGTTGGAAACCTCAACTTGCACACTCGTCTGAGGATGGTATGGGGTCGCCACCTTATGCCTTACACCATTCTTCTTCAACAAGTTTTCAAAGACTTTGTTGATGAAGTGAGAGCCTCCATCGCTAATCACCACTCGCGGCACACCAAACCTGGGAAAAATGACAGATTTGAACATCTTTAAAACCACCTTTGCGTCATTTGTGGGACTAGCCAGAGCTTCCACCCACTTTGACACATAGTCAACTGCCACCAGAATATACTCATTCCCATAAGATGATGGAAAAGGTCCCATGAAGTCTATACCCCACACATCGAAAATCTCCACTTCCAAGATGAAATTCTGAGGCATCTCATTCCTCCTGCTAATGTTTCCTTGTCTCTGACATGTGTCACATCTGGAGATAAAACTCGCTGCATCTCGGAACATCGTTGGCCACCAATACCCAGCTTGGAGAATTTTCGACACAGTCTTGAAAGTGGCGAGGTGGCCTGCATAAGAGGATCCATGGCAATGAAACAACACTCCTGGTATCTCCTCATCAGCTACACATCTTCTGAAGATTCCATCAGAGCAATGCCTGTATAAATAAGGCTCATCCCAAAAGTAGTGCCTCACATCCTTCAGAAACTT